TTTTTTTTTTTTTTTCCCCAGAAGAAAATTTTCATTTCAAGAGGCCCAGTGGGGGGGGGGAGGAATTCAAGAAGGTTTCGATCTTATTTGGGAGGTGCCTCCACTAGGGTTTTTGAATTAAAGAGGTTCCACTAAGGTGTTTTGTTCATTATAATTTTATAAATTCATTTTATAATTTAAATTTCTCTTACCACTTCAATTTTATTATTTTATTTTAATAATGAAAATTTATTTTTTTTTATCGATTTGTCGTACTATTGTGGATTAGGAGTGAGGGAAAATGGAGGGTTTTACTCATTCGTGGAATTTTAAGAGGAAAAAAATGACCAAGAGAAGAAACAAATAAAGGAATGGAGCTTTTTTTTTTTTTGGTGGAATGGAGCTTTCAATGAAACAGATCAGGGAATTATATAAGGACGTCTTCATCAAATGAATCTGATCCTAAATGCAGTTTGATACATCACGCCTTCAAATTTTTTAGGACACCTATTTCGGGGTGTACGTGACAGCACAGTGGGTCGTTTTCAAGTGAATCTGGCGGGTATGACGGTCAGATGCGTCTGGAGGCCTCAAGTCACCTTAGCGAATCAATTTCCGTCCATGCGCGACAGCAGAGTGGAACGTTCTCAAGTTAATCTAACCATAATGATGGGGCAGATGCATCCAGGGACGTCTCTCAGCAAATCTTTTTCAGGGCATAGGGCCTCGCTGCACTACTCTCCAAATGTTCAAAATGAGAATGAATCTTCCGCTAGAATGTGGACAGATACACCGCCATATTTTTTGTCTTTTCTGCAGCATGTGGAGAGTAGTGCAGCGAGGCCCGTACTTGACGCCACAGTGGGACGTTTTTCGCGTTTATCTGGCCGTAATGACGTTCAGATACATGGACGAATTGTCTAGCGTGGATTTACCATAACTTTGACACCTTGTGGTCCTAGCGAGGTACACAACGGAATGAGGAAGTGGCAAACTTCCCTTGGATCGGTTGCCATTGGTTTTTTTTTTTTTTTAATCGGTTGCCATTATGACGTTGGCTGTCCCGGCCGGATGGTCCTGCTCCCGCATTCCCTGTCTCCCTAGCCTGCCCAGTGTCTCTCGTGCTGGTGCGTTGTGCAGTAGAGGACCGAATGCTGTAGAACTCTACCTCCCTTTCTTCCTCCTCCATTCTAGTTTCACTCAGACCTTCCTCTCCTACATTCTCATCTTCACAGTTGCCTGTAGAGAGAACCCATTCCAGGGTCTCCCATGATGTGATCTCTGGGGGGGGGACCTTTATCTGTCAATGGTCTCAGTTCTTCTTCCATGTCTGTCTGTATCTGTTACTGACTCCCACCTTCTCTGTCGATTGTAATTGCTCCCCCCATATTGGTTTGCACCCACTACCACTAGCTCTAGGGCCAAGGGTTCTCCGCTTTGGTTCTCCACTTCAAATTCAGTGTTGATTTGGACCGCCACAAATGACTGTCTCGAATATCCTGTCAGATTTGGATTTGGATCCTGTGTGGGTTGTACTGCTGCAGGGTCTGGCCCTTGCTGCACTAGCACTCGCTCCTCTGCCTGTGGTACATGGACCGTGCCTGACCCTAAGAGGCTTGCTCCTCCCTGACTCTGATTAGGCAGTCTCAGTCTAACATCCTCATACTGACCCTAAGTACCCTTCACTAATTTTTGGTTGACTCCTATTTAAAGGTGTGGAACTTGGTGATGGGAGGAGGAGCATACCCTGGCTCTGATTTGGTAAACCTTCTCTTGCCCCTGGTCCTAGGGTCTCACCTGTCCCTATTCTTCTGTTCTGTCCCCCACCTTGGTTCCTTCCTCCTCCGTCTCCGCCAGTCATCTGAACCCTGTGTCTCCCCCCTTCGGAATCTGACTTTGCCTTATTCCATCAGTCACTGGACGGGTGAACGGGCAACCGTTGCAGTGGAACTTTTGACCCAATATTTAGAAGTTACTTTTTTATTTCCTTGGGCAGTTTCTTTCAATCAAATAGGATTGGATCTGCTGCCTGCAGACAGTCTGTACGCGGTAGATGTCGAAGCAGCCAACGACTGCTTAGTTAGTCTCACCCGACCGCCGACGGATTCGTACTGCTCAAGTATGCGATGTGCTCTTTCGAGTCCATCGATTTAGACTCCTTCCCGTCTGCTGACTGTGTACACAACCAGACCAGYGCTGCGCTGYGCGCCTATTGCTAGGCTGCTGCTGTAAATAAAGGTACTACGAGCCCTCTGCCCCATTCGAAAAGAGATTCGAATGGTTCACCGGTTCCACCGTATGCTCTCATCTTTTTCATTTTCATTTAAGATTGAGTCTGCAGTGCGCCTGGGTGAACTTGGATATTGCAAAGATTCTTAAAAAATTTAATCAGATTCTACAAGGTGTTTGTAATTATTATAGTTTTGTACACAATCGTACCAAGCTGCGTCGTATTCAATATATCATACAATGGAATAATAGCAAATTGTTCTAGTGGACTAAAAGCCATTATGAATTCTCTCTTTTTTTTACGGAGCTTTTGATGATCGATCTCTCAAAGCCAAAGCAATCTCAATTCTCTCGTCTAGACCCAAGCAAGTGCTTCGCGGCGGCCTATTTAATTTCATTTGGTGATCACGGGGGGCACGCAACCCGTGCCGCTGGCCCGGCGGAAACATCCAGGAGGCATGCAGTGTTGGCCCATCTGGGAGTGTTATGCGTTCGAGACGGAACGCTGATGGAGAGCTGTATGACGGGAAACTGTCACGTACGGTTCGGAGGGCAGAGACTCACCTCTGACCCCTACCCATTTTAGGTTTTGCTTTAACTGAAGCTATTGCTTTATTCGCCTTAATGATGGCTTTCTTAATTTTATGGGCGACCGCGACACTACCAAATGAACTGGGTTTCTAGCACGTATAACCATAACGCCAGAAACTAAAGCGATGCTTGAAAAAATAGAAAAAAGTATCATTGTAGTTATTAATCTTGTTGTTCGCCGATGAAAGTGGTAAACTCATTGCCGTGTCAGACGAGTATGAATTTCAATATACAATGGATAATCCGCAGGAAACCAACATATGTCTGTGTAGGATCCTCAGAGACTATACGTGAAGAGTCCGAACAAAAA